ATTCAAAATAACATAAACAAACACCAAAAGAAATCACTGTTAATAGTAATATACTGTATTGTTACAAAAATGAATACAGTACTGGAACTTACATCCAAAATACTATAATTATTGCTTTTCTAAGCTGTTTTGTTTACTTTTTTCTAAAAATAAAGTAACTTATTGTTTGATATTTTTAGAATACATGATCTTTTCAAAACCTCTTCAAATGTCTGTTATTTTGTTATGTTTAGAACAATAGAGCCGCTTATATTTAGCAAAGTGACATCATAGGTCACAAAAAGAGCAATGTACAGTGTATGTAACAAAACTTAGTTTGATTTAATTAGTAATTTACACTGTAAGGGCATTTTATGATCATTTTAGTTATTTTTATTTGTTAACACACGGTGGTTTTTATGGCCTACTGTTATTGTTAGACCTCCATTATTTGATATTTTTGCTCTTACAGTATTTGTTGCACTGGACCAAAACAAATTTCCATGTTAAAGTACATGTGTATCTAGTATCTGTACCTTGTATCTGGTTGCATTTCATTGTGAGATTTCATTGAAGATTCCAATTAGATATCTGGATATTAGTTTGTTACATGCCTCTCAAACATATTGCAACAAAGATTAATAATCTTAAATACAAAGATATTTATAATGAACACAAGTATTTTGGGCTGATGCTCTTTTAATTCTTGTTAAATATTTGAAAATATTTTAGTTTATAAAAAAATTCTAACCCTGTGCATTTTGATTGAAAAATGTGCACTTTTCTTCTTTTATATGTCAATAATTTATGAGGAATTCAGTTTATCATTCTACCACAAAATTTTGGTCACAGGTGTTCAGTAGGAAAAACCATGTTCTACTTGCTCTATTGTAGATAGTCCAAAATAGAAAGAGCTTTATTTTTTCATCCTTGAAGCTTTTTGTAATTATTGTTTTCCTGAAAAATAGCTGGTTCTTTTATGTTATTGTATATGCTGTCGAGTATACATTACTAAAAAATACATGTGTATGATGTCAGAAATAAATGATTGGTAAAAGGGACTTGGTTGATGTCTGTGAAAAAAAAATCATATATAGGCCAAATCTAATATTAGTAGCTAAAACTTATTGTTAGTGCAATTATAGTATTCTAGATATGAATTCTATCCATTTTAATTGAATTTTGTAGTTATGGTTACAAAATATCTTGTCCTTTTGTTCTGGGTAAATAGTAATACATGATTAAAATTTGGGGATAAAATTTGATATGTGAATAATGCAGATATCTGTCGACTGTATGCATGTTCTTATTTTTCTATAAATGAGAGGCGATTTAATTTCAGTTACAGTACCTAAAAAATACATGTGTATGAAGTCAGAAATAAATGATTGGTAAAAGGGACTTGATTGATGTCTGTGAAAAAAAATCATATATAGGCCAAATCTAATATTAGTAGCTAAAACTTATTGTTAGTTTAATTATAGTATTCTAGATATGAATTCTATCCATTTTAATTGAATTTTGTAGTTATGGCTACAAAATATCTTGTCCTTTTGTTCTGGTTAAATAGGATTACATGATTAAAATTTGGTGATAAAATTTGATATGTGAATAATGCAGATATCTGTCGACTGTATGCATGTTCTTATTTTTCTATAAATGAGAGGCAATTTAATTTCAATTACATCACATTTTTATGACACTTTTCTGCTAATTACGGAAATACTCTTTCACTGATAGATACAGTTTCTGTTTATGATAGAATCATTTATTAAGATGTTATTAAACCTTACAGGTGCAATGTATGTATGGTATTAATTGCATGTCACGTCACTTTGTTTGTGATCAGTATACAGTGTTTATAGTAAGGGTGATTAACAGTAGATTGCTTTTGTTTAGTTACTGGTAATATATAGTATCAATTAACATTTGAGTAAGATGTAAAGTAATGGTAATGGTTTTTGGATATAGTGCCTTTTCCAGAGGATACAAAGCACCGTGTATTAACTGTAACTCAATTCAGTGATTTTTTTTTAACCTTGTATCCATTTTACACCAAAGAAATAAATGCCTCCCTTGAATAAATACCCCCCCTAAAAATCCCTTCTCAACAATAGACATATTTAGTAAATTGTGAGATATATACAGTAGCTTCATAGAAATTGAAATTTTTGGGCTTACTGTTTTCTTCTGTAATTAGCTGTCAAAATTAAAATGCCTAATTATTTATTTAACACTACATAATGAAGTAAAATTATGAACTTTTTTAGCTTTTCGGGCATCACAGTTTCTTTAAAATTGTCTTTCTAAATTATATTAAAGTAGAATTTTTTATTTAAAAATCTGGATTTTCATTGATATCGAAGGTAATGATTTTTTATATCAACATTCATATATTTAAAATGACAAATGATTGTTAATACATAATGATAATTTATTACCATCCAGTAATTTGTCAGTTAATTTGACGTCTATATATAGTGGACTAATCTAGGCGAGTATTTAACGGTGTTATACATTTTTCAAACAAGAAAATGAGAATGAAATTTCTAAAGCCTACTAAAGTATACACTGACGTAAAATAGATTATTTCAGAGATCGTGAAATTCTGATGATCGACCAGGTTGTCACTCATTTCCTTTTCATACAGGAAGTGACATCCCATGTTTAAACCTGGCCTAAATGACTTGTACCTTCCTATGTACTGTACATACTCATATCACAACATGTCCACTGATTATTAATAATTGGTAGGAAATGACTTAATACTTTATGTGGCAAATTTGTATTGTGATACACCCAATTACTGTTTACTTAAAGATTGCAACATATTTAATCCTTTTTAAAATATTTTTTAAAATTTAAAAATTTAGAATTCGACAAAAGATTAATAATATACATCGTTGTAGTTTTACAGTAGGATATTTCATTTTTTTGCTTCTTTTTGTTCATTTAAAGAGCATAATATGCAACTTTATTGTATTATGCACTATATAATACTTATAATTAAATAATAATTATAATGATAATTATAATATACTTAGAAGCAGATAAAATTCTTTCATGATTTAAGTCTATTATTATTATTGTTATTATTATTATTATTATTATTATTATATAATACAATACAATAAAAACAAGTCCAAATTAAAATTATTCACAAGAGTATTGCATTTAAGTATAATTAATATTCTATGGAAAATTATAATTTAATAATTTATTAACAATAATAATTTTTTCTCACGTGCAAGTTCAAGGATAACAATACAAAATCTGGAAATATTATTGCTACAGTAATACTAATATCTGTACACTATTCCTTTAAAATACATTAAATATAAGGATTGCACAATGTGGAAAAACAGACTGAATTTTTATTTTTTTGAAATTCGAATTTGGAGTAATGGATGAAGTAGGCAGCTTTGAGAAAGTATTTCATTTTCTACTTGGCATTATTGGTATATTTTTTCTTATTTTTTATAATAATGTAAAAAAATATGTCTTCGTCAAAGAAGCAGAAAATTGTATCTGGAATATAAATGATTGTTTTTCATCAAGGTGTTGTGTGTAATGATACAATAAGATTTGCATAACTCTTCTTTTTTTTTTTCCTCACAGTAATACATACCTGCACTCATTGTCAGTATTGTGCATGTTTCTCTTTCATGCACTAATGAATACTTATAATAATATTCAATGATATGGAAGGAGTTAACGCGCACTGTACATGAGGTGCTCTAACACCTTTGTCATGCATCACCGATTCTGCGATTCAACAGCATAAAGATTTGTACAGTATTGCATGATTAACATTTAGTACATTGTAAAGAAGACCTAGATTTTTTTAAACATTAGCTCATTGGTATAATGGTAATTTTTAAAGGAATAAAATCTACTGTATTTGTAAGTTTTCATTAGCAATTTTTCAGATTATTTGTACTTGAATGGTACTGTACTGTAGTTTGAAATATAATAAGTACAGTATATAATAATTTTCAAGTGTGTATGACTTATGAATGAAATCTTATAATGAAATTCTGTTTTGAGCTATTTCATATAATTAGCATAAATTCATATCAAATGTACAATTGTTATTCAAATTAATATATATCTTCAAATAGTGATACTGCTTGCTGCTTGTGGAAGAGTTTAAAATATACATTTATGGTAGAGAACAAATAACATCCTAGAAATTTAATGTATGCTTGCATTTATTATAATTACGAAGTGTGTTAAGGTTAAGTTTTGAAATATTGTTTAGTAAATTATTACTTGTTAATTGAAAATTTAGTGTGTTCACTAAAGGACTAGCAACTACGCTGTAAGAGTATTTTTTGCATTCAGCACTGGCAATGTTTCAAGCTCTTTTGTTTTTAATTATGCTGGTATTCACTCTTGTTTTAGCTTTCATTAATTATATTCCTCAACATTTGCACAAAATTGAAAAAAGTATGGCTTACAACAACATAACATTTCATGGTACAGTAGTGCATTGTAATTATAAAATGACTTTCAGTATCTGTTTGCTTTTTATTTCATTTTTCATGATATGTTTGCTAAACATATTAACATCTGTTTTTAAGGCGGATGGTAATTTTCAGTATCGAGACTGGAACACAATGTATTAAGTTAGCTTCATATTCTTTTTGTTAAATGACTAACTTGTTTATTCACCAAAGATAAATGAATTCTTTATACCAAGCAGATACATATGTATTGTTTTCATGATTTAATTGATCCAGAGCTTGATTTCTCTTAGCAGTCTTTGTTTGCATCTGAATTGTGAATTAAATCATGTTTTTTTTTCAATTGTATCTGTTGTGGTCCAGACCCCTACTGGGCACCAATTTGATCACAGTACCAATAGAAATTATAACATGTTTCCTGTTTGTGTGATAAATATGTTTATACTTGTGGCATTGTAATTTTTACATACTTATGAAATGTAAAAGCTGCGTGGGTCACCCTAGTGTTAAACAATTAATAATAATAAAATAATCTGGGCTATTTTTTTTTGGTAGTGTGTTCAGGTGAAGTTGGATCTTGGTCATCGTGCAGCATTCCGCAAGACACCAACGCCTGAGGGTTTCACGCATGACTGGACGGTGTTTGTCCGTGGCCCAGATGGCAATAACATCCAACATTTCGTGGAAAAGGTCATATTCTTCTTACATGAAAGCTTTACCAGGCCTAAACGAGGTAACTAAAAATTTGATTTGATTTTGTTTTTCAATTTAGTTGACAAGCTGTTGATGAATTGATGTATTTCAAATTGCATTAATAGATTGTATTTATTGTATACCTTTGGATGCTTGTTAATAAATAGTGGTATTTGCATTTCCAACATTCCTGAATTGAATTAAATTAAATAGAATTATATTAATAGAATTATTTTTTTTTAAATGTATATAGTATTAATACCATATTAATTCAAGATATGATTTGGAATGCAATTTTTCCAAAATGTCAAGACAAAATGAAATATTAATTTTTCATCTTATTTACAAACAGAAATGAGAAATTGACAAACATTCTAGAAACATTTTTATTCAACTGTGTTTGGCTTTTATTATTATAATTATTAATATCAGTTTAAACTTTTTTTTTTTTTTGCAGTGGTGAGGGAACCTCCTTACTCAATTACAGAGGTAGGCTATGCTGGCTTCCACCTGCCAATTGAGGTGCACTTCAAGAATAAAGAGGAGCCGAAGAAGGTTGTCTTTGAGTATGACATGTTTCTCCATCTTGAGAACTCGCCACCTGTCAATCATATTAGGTACGAGAAGCTCACGTTCAGAAACCCGACCGAGGACTTCAGGAGGAAGCTGTTGAAGGGTGGCGGGGTAAGACGTCTTTTCATTTTGAAGATTCAAGTTGATGGCTACTGTTGAAAAAGAAACAAATTTCTGATCATTTTTGTGTAGGGAGATTTGGAGGTTTGCTATGTTTGTTTTTTCGGGCCTAGGAACTCCATACACTTTTGCTTTATGTTAACATTATTCAATTGCAGATGTGATTTGACAACTATAAATATTTTACTCATCATAAAAGAATGTTATTAGGAATTCTTTTCACATCTGGCTGTAGGGCTATTCACTCCCTACCCCAAAAAAAAAAAAATTGGAGGCATTGTTTCTAGTAGGGAAGAGATGTTGAATAATAATTTGCATACTGACATTCTCAGATGTTTGTTTTTTACTTGAATAAACTTTATAAATATGTAGATACACAAAAACGGAATAAATATATTAACATTTTATCCTCTTTTCTTTTCTTTCAATTATTAGGTTGGAATCCTCCCTGATGCACCAGACCTGAACCCTGGAACTTTTGAAACTACTACCACTACTTCAGAGGAGACCACCTCTTTCCCCGTTCACACCTTGGAGGTGCCCAAGGTGAAGGGCAAACCCCATGCTGCTGCAAGTAACGCTCTTGCTGCAAAGAAATCCAAAGAGAAAAAAGTAATTTATGGCACATTCTATTTAATGCACTTTGTATTTTGTACCACATATTAAAATTTAAAAAGATCATCTAATAATTACTTCTTCCAACTTTGGACCCCTGTTTTTTAACTACAGCTGATTTTGTTTTTAATAACATATTCTATAAATATCGTTTATATTTTGTATTTTACAGGAAAGTTCAAGCAGAAGTCCGGTGGCCACAAAGCCAAGTAAAGGAAAAGAACCCAAGTCCATTACACCGAAAGAAAGTAAACCTAAAGACCCTAACAAACAGAGTGTCAAACGTCAGAGTAGCACCTCCTCAGTGCCGGAGCAAGTCAAGAAGCGCAAGAAGAGTTCTTCTGGATCCAAAAATGGTGAAAAAAGCGAAAAGATAAGTTCTAGCGAGAAAGTCAAATTAAAGGAAAAATCTCAAAAAGTTAAACAACCCAGAGTAATATCAAATGAACCTTTATTTAAACCAGAGGCTGTACTTGAACGCAAGAACAAAACAAAACCAGAACCATTGAAGAAGGTACTGCCACCGTTTGAGGCAGAACTTAGCACTGAGGAGATAGAGGACGTCCCCTCTCCAGGTTCCAGCACAAGTTTCTCGTCATTTCCGAATAAACAAAGCGGGGGCGCACTTAATACGCTGATGCAGGAATTTATGCAAGAATCTGACAACGAAGATCTAGACGATAGTAGCGAAATTGTCACTACACCCTTTCAAAGCGGACCTTATAAGGCAGCGTTGTCTGATGACAGTGACAATGAAGAACCAGCACAACTGGAGTCCCCAGCACCAACGCCTCCACCGCCACCCCCAGTTGAGAAACCGAAGGTCGTTCAAAAGTCGATTAAAAAGAAAGCAACTAATGGTAAAAAGAGTAGAGTCAGTGAAAAGAAAGAACGGACTGACATTAAAAAGGTCAAAACGGCTTCAAATAAGAAGTCGGATCTCGATGAACTAACTCATCTTCACCAAAGGTTGATGAGTTTGCAGAACCGTGAACATTTACAAAAAGTGGTTGACCTCATCGAGGAGACTGGCCTCTTTCAAATTACTACCTCAACCTTTGACTTTGATTTGTGCTCACTTGATAAATCTACAATACAGAAATTACAGAATTGCATTGAAACACTTGTAATGTGAAAAGAGGTGTATTATAGTCCCCAGTGGATCAACTCATAATTTGTGTGCTATATGTGAGTTTTGTAAATTATTCAGTGCTATATACAACTGGCACATGTGTCCATGTATTCAAGAATTGTTGCTATGTTTGTTTCATCCTCCGCGCAGAGCATGGTACTTTCTATAACAAGAGGTCATGGTTCTTGTTTCCATTGAATTGGTGGTAGCCGTAATGCAGTATTCGCGGTTTCAGCAGCTGAAATGAAAGAAGAGAATACAAACTTTCACTTCATTTGCATATTTATATTTTCAAATACCATCTAATTATATTACAATCAAATTTGTAGCTGTCTTTAAATTATTCATTTATTTGGTAATTTGCGTATAAAGTTAGGATTAATCATTTCTATATTTTTTTAAAATAATGGAATTTCTCCAATTTTAAATGCTTTAATCCTAAAAATACAAATTGATTGATAAATATAATTTTAATTGGATGATTGCATTTGTAAATTCAGTTTAAATTATATGGTCATTGCTAGTTAATAATGCAAAAACAATTCCTAGAAATCTCAATCATTATCATAGTCACTGATCTACCCCACAATTCTTCACTCAGTTTTAGGCATTGTGGGGAAGCCAGGTAAGTCTAATTGCTGCATTGAATATTAATTTTAATTAAGATAATGATTAATTATTTTCCAACAGTATTTATAGAAAGTTGATTTGCCATTTTTGTGTGTTCTCAGCATTGCCAAAATTAGATGTAAGTACAGCATCTGGAATGCTGGACTTTATTTTTTATTCAATTTTATATTGGTTTTTATTAAATTTAATACATTTATTTTCAACTAAAATTTACCTGTGTTAATTCGAAAAGGTGCCCTTTTCAAGGAAGCCGAATTTAGATAGGTTTTTATATAGTATAGATTTATTGAACTGAACCTTGTATTCATAATATTTTGATAATTTTGAAGGTAGCTAGACCATGGATCAAATTTGAATACAGTCACTCCTGCTTGAGGATCAAATTTGAATACAGTCACTCCTGCTTGAGGATCAAATTTGGTAGTCTTATGCCACATATCTGTAACTTGATTCATGTCTTCACAGCCTTTTCATTGGTTTGTTGTTGAGCTTCATAGAGGGTCAAATGCATTGGGCTGATTTGGGGTGGTGGCTCTGATTGAGGGGCTGATTGGGGGTGGTGGCGGTGCTCATTAAGTGAGGGGGTGGTAGGTCGCAAAATATGGTATGAAGTGGTTTTTAACTACTTGAACGTGATGATGGGGACTACTTGAACGTGATGATGGGGGAACAAGCTTTTGTGGGTGGGGGTGTGCACACCAACTAGGTACGCCACTGTGTAGTATTACTGTAAAGTGGGAGGACTCGTGAAACTTTTATCATAGAGCAGCCATCTTTTGGTTAAAGTTTAGACTGCACTCCAGTATTCCTATGGCATAACATTCATCCTTGATTTCATATTTTAAGTGCTTACATTAAACTGTTCACTCTAGTGCTGGGTTTTGTAGGCCTATTGAAACATTCATCACAGAATGGCCATTTTAACTTATCTGAAGGTCATTATCCTGCTTCGTACTAATTGGATCAAATGCATTATATTATATTTCGCATGATTTGAATTAGAACAGGTTGGTCCTTACTCGGAATTAAAGACGGTGTCCTATATTATGAATAAAGTATTCATTCAAACATCAGTCTAATATAGAATGTACAATATAATCATCATGAATGCTTGCTCCTGTATTTCCATTACAATTTATACACTGACATTGCAGAGTATTTACTGATGGGTTAGGTTCGAGTGTTTGGTGCAACTTTTGTTTGGAATTTTCAGCTCTATTCATGTGACTGATAATGACAGTTAAGTTTTTTGTCAGGTTGTCATATATTTCAATTCTGTGAGTGACTTGTAATCTGACAGGATAAAAGCAATTCTGTGATGCTCTATGAACTAAATCTTGTTATGAGGCTTAGGGATTGCAGTAAAAAGGATTTGAACCCAGGACCCTGAGATCAAGCATCTTAACCTGTGAGCTACATTTATGTTTTATTGGTCACCAAATCTAAGAATTTCATATCTTTTAAATCCCATTTATTCGGCATTACATTAAAATTTACAGAAGTACAAAAATATATCAAAATACAAAAATACAATAGAGAAAAATGTCATAAAAATTAATAAAAACCACAAATTCAAAAAAACAAACAAAAAGTTATAAAAATCATCAATAATAAATTTGAGTTACCTTGAACATCATATACCACTTTAAAAAAATTGAGGTTTCAGTATTGTTTAATATTTTAATTTTTCTTGCACTGATTTTTCAGATGGTCCAAATAGCTTCTGTAAAGTTTGTTGGTTGTGTTTAATTCTCTTGGCGTGGAAACAGACCAGCAGTTGTTTAGTGTTGGCTCATGAATAATTCATTGGCGAAAAGTATTATATTACTGTAAGACATTTGTTGTAAATGTAAAAAGGATGACAACAGGGATGGTAACACTGATTGGATGTGTGCTGTATTGGTAGACAGTAATGTGGGTTGGTTTACAAAACAATCTATGAAGCATGGAAATGCACCTATTTATGCTGTAGAGTATACACATTTTGTTATGGTCTTAATGGCTACACATGTTTAACAGGTAATTGTTTTGTATACAACAGGAGATCAATTTGGGGAGAAAAACACTTTGTCGGGTAGAAAAAAAAAATATATGTAGTTTTTACATACTATATTAGTAGATTCTAAAATTGATTAAATAATCCTTTGATAGCCCTAAATTATCATAGTTTCTAGCAGCCACATCCCTGGATCACTTCTGAGAGAGTCCACCCTTATTTATGGAAGTGTATGAATATTAGTCTGAGAAACACAAATTTCTATTACACACATTTGTTTCTAAATTGAAATTAATTATTGTTGAGATTGGAAAATGAGAGTTAAATACAGGCTGTGACTATTCAAATCAAATATTAAAATGATTTTTGCTGTCAAATCTAAATTGGGGGGGGGGGAGCCCTCTTAAAAGTTGAAATCAGCTGTTGTAGAAATAACACCCTCATAAGGATGTCTGTGGATCCATTGCTGCCTTGTGATGGATACTGTATGTGTTTAATAATGCTACTTACCTTTGGAATGGTTGAAATACAAATAGCCCCTTGTAAATTTTTAATTTATTTTACTGCCATTTTGATAATAAATTTTATGTACTGCCTTTTGTGGAAAATTTTATTTTTAAGAGATTTCAGTATTTAAAGTGTTGTTTGAACCTGTTCCCTGTTTGATATAGTGGAGAAATAAATAGAAATATTAAAATGTCAGGTATTATAGAATTTTTTACCCATATCTAATTTTTGCCTATATTTATATAAAGAATAAACTTATTTACATTTTTTCTGTTCTTTGAAACATTGGTATAGAAATTGAAATTTTTATTATCTTCACTGTATTATTTTAAAATAAATGCAATTAATCTAAATGAATTAAATTTATTAATTTTTTTTTTACTTAGAAAGTTTATTCATCTGGGAATAAAATTGTGAATTTTAAAAAATGAATTTGTTGGGCAAAGTTTTAAAATAAATAATGTGAGCGGTCCTTTCAAGTTGCCTTGGTTTCATCCTGCATCCAACGTGGCTTGGATTTTTTTAATATATAAAGTTAATAAATAATATAAATTGCCTTCAATTATTGTACATCTTGATTTTGAGCTTAAATATTATATTTAAACAACTGTTTAAATTGTTACCACACTTAAAATGTGATCCGTTTCTCATCATTTTTAAGAGAATGCTAAACACTGAAAACCAAATGTCATGATGTGTTATTCACGACAATAAATTTGAATCTGAATCTGGGATGCCCTACCTCCCAAAAGAGTGCGTAATGAAATGATGAATGTTGTCATTTTGAGATAATTTTTTTGTCATGTTCATAAAAAGATCACGTACACTGTTTACCCTTCCCTGCCCCAGTGTTTTTTATTTTTCAACTTAACCAAAATGCAAAAAGGTTTAAAATCACTAATGAAGATGTTTCATTCTTATAATGTTAACAGTGACTTGCTTTGTCTCTGTAGTTTCTAGATACAAGCATTTGAAAATATACTATTTATGATGAGCTAAAAAACAAAATTTAGAATTCAGATGGCTTACTTTTTATATTTAAGTAAGTTGTTAACTTTCATTTAACCATAAATTGGAGGGTAGACAGTTAATCACTGGGAGTTAACCACTTGTTTTTAATAGCTTCTTAGATGAGCTCAACATTTTTATTGAAATTTTAAGGTTTTTCATATTACAGTGGTGTATTTTTAGTTTATGGTGGTGTTTTAAACCCATTTTGTTTTTGTTATAAATAACATGGTATTTTCAAACCAACCAAAATAATGCTAAAGGTTTTAAAACAAAATGAATAACTACTCAAGTAGTAATCATGCCACTTTTATAATGAAATAATTGTTTAAATGTTAAATGTTGTTTTCTACCTTTTTATATATTATTGGATTTAGGCCTTTATTTTTTTGTGTGTTTTGACAGGCATGTTCAGGTATAGGGATTTTTGGGAACGACTTATTGTAACCATGGAGAGATTAATCCTTCCATGCTGTAACCCAATTGTCTTTTCCACGTCCCTTTCTTACTTTTCTTTTTTTAAATTAGCACTTAGTTGTAAAACAGGGTTAGCAAAAAACTTAATAGTTGAAAACAAAGGGTAAAGAAAAATTATTATTAAGTAGACTAGCAAGTTCACCAAAGGACCTATTTCTGTTTTATCAGCCGTGTTCCAGAGTATTAAGAATATGAATTTTCGGGTGAAAAAATATTTTTTTTTAAATTTTAAATCAAGTTTTCGTCCATGTTTTTTTAATCCTGCAATATGATCAAGTATAAAATGTAAATCATTTAAGCTTAATTCTTATACATGTAAACATCCCTAGTATTCCATGGCAATATTTGATTGTGTTTGGTAATAATACATTATCCCACTTTATAAAAATTTGTTTTGGATACATGTGTGCAACATATTTTGTTTAATGATTCTGTATTTTGTAAAAAGAATGTCAATCATAGTGTTCATATGTTCTGAAATGGACAATTAATGTAAATAAGTAATTAACTTCTATAGTTGACAACATTGTGTTTGTTACCCTCTGTAATTAATTTGAAATGAAGATTGAATAATTGTTGCATTATTATTATTATCATCATCCCAGACATGTAGAAGACAAAAGCAACAGTAATTCAGGTTGATGATTCAAAAGTTACCATATATTATGTATTCGTTTTTATGACCATAGAAGTACAGTCATTTTATTTTTATTTTATTTCAAAAACAATTTTTATGTTTGGAATATTTTGTTTGTTGCACTCTATGCATCTTCATTCCATTATTATTACCTTTATTTAAAACATATTTTAGTTACATATGTATATTTCATGTTTATTTCTATGTTGATTCTTATACCCGATTCACACGTGGCTGTATGTAACACAGGATGATTTCATTAATAGGAAGCTTTCGATCTGCACGACGATCTGACACTAGAACAGATTCACTCATGTGTGGCGTTCCAGGCAACGAGAACAATTTAATGTTCTCTCGTGCGCAGTGATGTCATTGCGTTCTACGTCCTACTGCGCCGTGCAATCAAAAGCTTCCTAATGTCTCGGAAAGTCCTTGTAATATTTGGAATGCGTTCTGTGTAACGTTTTGTCTCATGAATCTGGTTAGCTAATAAATAGGCTAAAAATCATTTCAACATGTAATCTTGATTTCAGAACAATTCATAAAAACTAGTTTATTTAATCAACAAATTCCATACAAGCATATTTAATTTTTCCTTTATCATAAACATTGTTATATAAAGTGTGTTTTTATGTACAGTATCTTAAGTTCAAACTGAAAAAGTCATGAATAGAGAATTGCATGCGTTAGTGGTAATTAGAGCAGTAGTTCAAATAAAACTGTGCTAGTCGTAGGAAATAGTTACCAAATTTGTAGTTATAGGTTATGTTTTGTGTTATTTATTTTATAAATAATTATGAATTATTTTATATTGTGTTTTATTGTCATTCTGTTCTCTGTGGTAATATTTGCAATACGTGAGATCTGGTAAAGTACTACCCAACAACCCCACCCATGGGTGGGTTGGTATGGCAGCGCACAAGTGGTATGGGGTGCTGGTTGAAAATAAAGAAGCAAATAAGGATAACAAATTTAGGAAAAATGTAGGGGTGTGGGTGGGGTGGAATAAAAAGAAAAACTAGAGATAGTATGTTCAATAGAACATGAACCCAGTTTTTAACCTCAACATGTGTACACCCCATGTTTGGTAGGAGTCTGTCTAATGCAATTGGTCCAATCGTTAGTCACTAGCAATATTTGATAATTTTCACTATAGTGACCCTTGTGACTTTTGACCTATAGGTGAAGAGTATTTTTTCATGTTTAGAAGGTCCTAAGGATCATTCCTGGTAAATTCAATGCACCCACGGATATAAAGGGCCAAAGTGATTCATGAGGCTATAAAAGCCTAGCCCATACATATTCACAATAAATTGGCCTGGTTATATAACCTTTAAAAACACATTATAAAGGTAGTGGTCTACAAAATTAATTACTATTAATTACTTACAAGATGTTGTAAAATCCTAAATTTGATGTTTTTGTGTTCCTATAATTAATATTATGACTCATCAGTTAAAACCAGTTGTAGCCTATAATGGAATGTTGTACAATTTTAGGACACTACACATGTCTCTTATGGGACATTCACCAGTTGACGTTTTCCTGCAAAAACGGCTGTGATTTACAGCATCAATCGGAATCGCTTTATTTTGGTGACAGATTATATTTTTGCTTTGATTGAACTGTACTACTACTACATTGACCCTGCTGACAGATCAAATTTTTAGCATAATACAGTACTACTATGTGTTTAGACAAAGAATATAGGTGAGGTTTTATGTACAGGTCTACACTACCATCACTTAACTTTGCAATTATGTACCCAAGGATATAAAGGGCCAAAATGATTCATGATTCAATTGTTTGTCATTAGTAACATTTTTAACCTTTGACCTATAAACTTTGACATATGGGGTGAAGAGTATTTTTTCGTGTTTAGAAGGTCCTAAGGATCATTCTTGGTAAATTTGAGCTCAATTGGGCTATTTTAAAAATTTAACCCAATGACCCCTATGTGACCCCTGATCCTAGACTTGGGTGTAGGAGGTGTTGCCGGTTCCTAATGACAAAATTTGATTGAATTTGGTCCAATGGTTTGCCATTAGTAGCATTTGGAAATGTTACTAGAGAGAACAAAAGAATAACCCTTTAATGACCTTTGACCGTAAATCGCTGAACACCATAAGACCCTACATTATGCCAATACATATGTGCCCAGGACAAGACTGTGCTATGATATTTGTGACAAAGAAAATTTTTTTGAAAATTTTTTACCCTAATGACCCCTATGTGACCATTGACCCCAAGCAGTGAACACCCCATGCATGAAAGGCGTCACCTATTATACTGACCAGGTTTGGTTGAAATCGGCACAACCGTTTGGCACTAGTAGCGTTTTGAAATGTTGCCAGAAAAAAGATAAAAATTACCCCTTAATGACCTTTGACCCCTTATCCCTGAACACCCTATAGACCCTGCCTTATGCCAATGTATATGTGCAAAGGACAAGACTGCTACGTAATTTGTGAGGCAAGTAGTCTTTTATACGATTGGTTTTTTGACCCATGCCCCTTATGTGACCTTTGACCCCAAGTTGTGAACAACACACAAATGGGAGGTGGCACCGGTCCTACTGACCAAGTTTTAATTAAATCGGTCCAGTAGTTTGCCACTAGTAGCCTTTTAAAATGTTGCCAGAAAGAAAGAAGAAACTGCTCGGAAACAGAACCCAGTCAGCATGCTGCTGACTGGGTAAAGAAAGAAGAAACTGCTCAGAAACAGAACCTGGTCAGCATGCTGGGTAATTCAGCATCCAGCTTATGGAACTGATGTTACCTGATTTGCCCATATCTGGATATGGTAGGCATGTCTATTTTATGTGACATGATATCATGCCCATATTTATTTATTTATGGATGTCACGCCCTTATATAGGCAGTCCACACACATTTGCCACATAAAACTTTTGTCATTTTAAAGGCACACAGACAACTAACATTAGCTGCTAGTCAGTGCCGTAGCCAGGATTTTCAGGATTTTCAGAATTTTCAAACAGTGCGGGACAATATCTGGTTGGACCCACTGTACGCCTAAATACAAATAATGTGGACCCATTTTCTTAAAAGTTTACCCATTCTACGCAAAAATATGAAGAATATGGACCCATTTATTTAAAATTTTACCCACTTTAAGCTAAATATGAGAAATCTGGACCCATTTTTCAAAAGTGGACACATTTTATGCATAAAACTGCATAATTTGGACCCATTTTTTTAAAATGTGGGCCCATTCTTTGTGAATTGTGTGGGACTTTTCCAATAGCTGCCTACGGCATTGCTGCCAGTCCTCTCTCCACTTTAATGGAAAATCTTAAAATTCTAACAATAATGTGATTGTTATTCGGATCTGAATGTATAGATTACATTTCATTATGAATTAGCATTAACTGTTGTTCAGTACTACTAGAAATGGCAGAGATAATTTACCTAATTCTCAAATTATCTGTTTCTTAAATTCTCATGGTACTATTTAAAAACTTTTAAGATGGGCATTAATTACAGCATCAGCTCTGTGCTTATATTGCGTGTATATATATATATATAGTGCTTATATTGTGCTTATAGTACAAATACAACACTTAATGACATGAGGCTAATTCATTCCAAATATTTATTCAACCGATTTCTCAAGGAATGTAAATAAGCTTATACATTATCAGCATCTACACGACACCAGCGACAACTGACATTAACATCTCACTACACTCGTATCTGCGAGATCAATCTTGCTCATTGCAAGTCAAACACTGTACGGTACATGCAGTACTGTACTCGCCTATGGTTCTGGTGGTGGAACAAGTCTTCTTGGTTAAGGATTATAAACCGTGGGCCCAGTGAAAACAATGGCGCGTGTGCACTATGAAAAACTCAGTACATCTCTCGAGATGAGTGGGGGTTACCCTGGTGTACTGGTACATACAGCCCCTGTTGTGGACAGATGAGAGATAGCTGGTACCAGTTTACTGGGTAGCTTAGACACAAAGATACTCTTTAGGAGAGAAGATAGTTACTGTGCTTTGAGACCAGTATAAAAGTGCTATATAAATCCAACCACATTACAAACGGCTTTATAAACCATATATTCTGTATGTTGTGGCTTCCATCTATTGGGAGGGTGTTATTTCCTTTTTCTCTGGGACTCTGACCAGATACCTCAGCTGACCCTTGGTTTTGACCCCCTGTTGACAAATTACTAGGGCCACCAAGTATGCACGTGGCTGTACTAATTATTATAATACAAATACGTATATGAAGAATGAACTTTATTGCAATATCTTAATAAAATTCAACAGAAAATTTGATGACTTTATCTCCAATTAATCTGTATCTGTAAACTTTGGCTATGTTCTCACACGGCAGCTAAAGGTAAGCAGCATCCGGATCTTGCTAACCGTTAGCTGCCGTGCGTCCATACGAGAAAATCCCGATCCGGATACCAAGAATATGATGATCGAATCACTGGCCAATAAGAAACTGGAAATTGTAAACGCATACGTGTGATTGGTTGATGATAGAAACGCGCTTACTTGCTAACTGATAGCGCTTGCTAACCGTTAGCGCTAACTGATCAGGCGTTCTCACACAGGTGCTACCGGTTAGTGCTAACGGTTACAGTAGCTCCCGATCCGGATACTACTGTAGGTCTCTCGTGAGAACCAGTCTACTATCTATTTCAAGAATATTCTGTGAGGGTGGTCCATCCAGCCAGGGCTGATAAATTGGGACCCTCAGTACATACAATTAAAGGCAATCAGTATACAATACAAAATCAAGACAAAAAAATATATTTAAATAATCAAATGTTAATAAACCTGTATTCTATCATTATCATTACTAGGCTACTTTTTTTGTATTACTTTTTCAATACTAGATATACTGTAAGCTAAAAGAGAAGATGAATAGCACTGGTTGTAGATGTGTTTGATGTATATATATACGGCTATCTTGATTTATATTAATATATATATTACATATAT